CGTTCCGCTCGGATGTTGAATGTTGACAACGGGCGACCAGATTCCGGATATTCTGTCTTTCTCTGCAGAGGAACTTCATTTTTGGTTGTCAAGATTTGTTGTTGAAACGCGACGCGAAGATGGCAAAGCGTACCCTCCCAAAACACTTTACATGCTTTGCACTGGACTTTTAAGACATTTACGAGAAAACGGTGTGCATTTGAATTTTCTTGATGAAAAGAATTCCCAATTTTACGAATTCCGGAAGACTCTTAGCGCAAGAATAGCAGAACTTTTTACCGCACAAGGAGTGGGGACGTCTACAAAGCAGGCCGAGCCGATTTCTGAAGAGGCAGAAAACGTTCTTTGGGAAAAGGGTCTCCTCGGCAACAATACGGGAGAATCTATGTTAAATACTGTCTTTTTCTACAATTGCAAACTGTTCGGACTGAGGGCGGTGGACGAGCACAAAACATTATCTGTTGACCAGTTTGAGTTAGGTGAGGACCAGAAGGGCAAGTTTATAAATTTCACAGGAAGGGCAAATAAGACATACAAAGGTAAGTTGATTTACTTATTAAAAAACACTACAAATTGGTTAGGCCTATCAGGTTTGTAAATGCATGGACCGCAAATTTGCTGAAAAATGGTTAAATAAATCCCTGTATCGATCTGTTAATTTGTATTTTGACCTTGTATAGAATTTATATCAATAATCAAAAACAACCGACAAATACATATTTGTGGGAAAAAAACTATCGATAGAAGTAAACTGTGTAATTTTTTTTAGGAAAGTTATAATTTGAATGTACAGTCCTTGTTTGTATATTTTTTGAAGGTGGATTGTATCAAAGACACGTGAGCGCGAAATAGATAAGACATCACTTTCAGGTTGAAAAAGTCTACAATATCTACCAGGAATACTTCAATCTGGTGGTGATTAATTCAGAAAATAACCGATTTTACCGGTGACCATTGGCAAATGGAGAGAACAACGAAGTCCGTTTCAGTGTACAACCCATCGGAATCAACAAATTATCTACAATTATGAAAATTATGTGTGACAAAGCCGGAATTCCCGGATTCTTTTCTAATCATTCCGGTAAGCGCACTTGCGCAACCGCTCTCTACCAAGCCGGGGTACCGAAACCGGAAATCATGGAACGTACAGGCCACATATCTATTGAGAGTGTCCGCAAATACAAGCGTCCGAGTGAGGAGATGCTACGTGATATTTCCAATGCGTTGGAACCAGATGAACCGGTCAGCAAAACGGCAAAATCCTTGGACAAAATTGAAAATCCAAAGCATGGAGATTGCGAGTGTAAAAACACATTTAACAACTGTCAAGTATTTTTCAACCGTTGAAAAGGATGTTGTTTTAAATGTTGAGATGAAGTATTAATTTTTCATTTTATTTCGTGGAGTGGAATAAAAGTGTATGTGAATTTTGTTAATTAATGTTCAGGAAAATGTACCTTTTCAATGATTATTAAAATGGGAAATTTATGCAAATGATTTACGTCATTTTTTTGTAGCAGTTTTACCACGCCCATTGGGTATCAGTGGTTATGTATAGATACCCACAGTTAAGATCAAAAGAAAATTACCGCTGCTAGGTACATGTATTTTTACTGTAAAATGTATGGCGTCCCTTTCACGTGAAATATGAATTATTCCTAACAATTAGAGAGTACAGTATAAGCGAGTCATAATTGTATATCTCTGCCATAAAAGAATACCAACCATATTATAAAGAGGAAAATAAAATAAGATTAAATAAATAACCACTGGAAAACAGGATGAAAATAGCTAATTGAAGGTGAGTATGTTTTTTATGTCAATTTAGCATGAAAAATTTTATTTAAAGACACCATAAATTTGTTGGTTGCATTTTATCGATACAAGATATGCTATTTTACCTTTATTTAATGCATTTGTTTGAAAATTGAGAGCGAGAAGACATGTGAAGAGGATTTTCTTGTTTTTTTTAGGGGGGGGGGGATAAAAGTCAAATGATGAGTTATAATACATCATCTTCGCTAGCCAAGGGTTTTCGGTCCGAAACGCTCCCCATAAACCCTTGGCCGATATGCATTGAAAAACGCCGGTCAATTTTGATTGGAGAGTTGTAGCCGACCGTGGACCAATGAAAAAATTGTTTTCAATTTACGGCCTACGCCTTTTGAGAAGTTTTCGACAAAATTATAACACATGTGTAAACCTGTTTTCGTTCCTATGAACACACCACGTCTATCCGTTAAGGCATATATCGCTTCTCGTTGGAAAGAATTTAAATTTTTGTACTCCAAATGTTGTTTTAATAGAAGTCGCCATATTCTGTATCATTTTCTACCAAAACGTACATAAAAGCTATCATTTCATTGGCTATTTGCTTCAACCAGGATTACCGTTCTTTCTGAAAATTTACAGATGGCGCTATGTGTGACCGGCGTTTTTCAATGCATATCGGCCAAGGGTTTTTGGGGGAGCGTTGCGGACCGAAAACCCATGGCTAGCGAAGATGTAATACATTGACTTTCTCAATATAGATCGAGGTACAGTCATATTAGAATATGAATTAAGTGTATAGTCAAGTATTCACATTTTTTATAGTTTTTACGTTTATGAAGATGTTAATGAACAAACTCAAATAATGGAGTGATCAATTGCGCCTTGGAACTCTTGTCTTACTATTTTGGAATATAAATCCTCATCGGACATTAAAATTTCATAAAAATTGTAGCCACTTTCTGTATTATACTAAATGATAGTCAGGGTAAATTTTACCTTCTGTTGTCTATTTTACGCAATTTTTTAATATCGCTCTCTTTGAACTGCATTATAATATGCTATACAACTCAATATATGATTGGTTGTAAACAATATGTCACACTTTTCTATTAGTTATTTTATCTATGATAATTATTTCTAATGGCAATAATTTTCCCAATATTAATACTCTATAATGAACAAAATGTGTTAAGAAAGTAAAGATGAATTCTAGTAACGTGTAGTATCATATTGTGTTAGAAAATAACAGGTTGCTTTTTGTTTACCTACTGAGTATATGATATTTATTTGATGAACAAATCTTTCCCTACAATTAAAAATATATAAGCGAGTTTAACCGACCGTGACATTCAAAGACAAGTCTCTTGGACACATGCAGAAGACAGTCGAGGTTGTTTTGTAAGAGGTGGTCAAGAGGTCTCTTTAGCCCCCCCCCTTTTTTTTAAATCGTCAAGAAATGGTAAAATATTGATGACTTTGGGAAATTAAACGATCGACAGTTATGTCATAAGCTGTATTCCTGAAACTATCAATGATATTCTGCAAATATGTATGAATGATAAAAATAAAAGATTTTAAAAAGAGAGAGAGGGGGGTTTTAGCCGAAATTTTAGACATTTTTATCATTATTTTATTTATACATTCATAAATAAATTTGATTTTATGCACAAGATAAATGTGAAAGTAATTAATGACGCATAATTAGATGCGACAGACAATCCCTAGTTGATACATGGCATTATATCTTGTGTGTGAAATGTGTTTCCGTATAATTTCTTTTATTTACAAATTGTTCATGTTTGTCGTGTTGATGTGGAATTATTATAGATTCCCGAATTCTGATACTTTACAATTCTGTTGTTTAGGGAATGAAGATGAGGGAGATGCATATACTTTCAACATTATGAAAAATATAAAGCAAAGCGAACGCCATTTTGTGTGCAGATCATGACATGTACTGAGCTCCACGGGTATTTGTTGTCCTGAGCGCATTTATCTTGACGTCCAAATTCTTACTTGGCTAGTTATACCTTTAGAAAGCATGTGTATCTAGATGAAAGTTAACTCGGCAACATGCGCCATCCCATTGTTTAAGTTTTATTAGGTGATTACACCTCCTATACCCGATTTCACGGATTCAACGATACCCTAATATCGAGTATTATACGCGATTTCACGGATAATACCCGATTTCGAGTATTCTCTCCGACCTGTTTAAAACGTCTAATAATCAAAAACAAATTAAATTACGTAAGACGTTAAACTAATGAAAAAACTTACAACTTTGATTTACTATAATGATCAAGAAAACTTTAATTAACTAAAGTGAAAACGTTGGAGCATCGATTTACTATAATGTAGTAAAATATCGGAAACTCTACTTTACTAATTTATTTTTGGGAAGAACCATTCAAATGGTATTTAAAAAATGGGGGAAGATAATTCTATTTTCATTATAAACAAATTCTAATGGTGTTACAAATTCTGAATAATTATTTTTCTAGTACATTGGCAAGACATTATTTTTATATGTATCTTTTGTTCATTGCGAAATTACGTTTTATGCACAGTTGGATTATCCAGATGATAGACAGTGTATTCGTTTGTTGTTTAACTGCCCTCTCAAAATTTGTTTTACTCATACGGAAACACTACCACTTGCTGGTGATGGGCTGTAGATTTTTATATATTCTCGACTCTCAGGGATAATGAAAAGTGAGTCTTTGTTTTTTTTTCGTGCGAGCATCTACTGTCACACAGGACCACGTTTTATTCGGTTTTATCAGAAGGACCTGTCTGTACATCCCACAGTGGGAATTCGAACTGCGACGTAAGAATAAAGTCCTGACTCATCGATTCTAAAGCAGACGATCTAACCACTGCGTCACGTCATAGACAATGCTTGACAGTTAAATCTAAAAATTGACCCATATAAAAAATCAAACAAAACAAAATTAACCTTGGTAATAACCATTGAATAGTTAGTGTGTGGGCTTCTGTTGCTCGTATGATTTTTAGACAGTTATTTCCTTTTTGTAACAACAATATCCATCTCTTGACCGTAGGGTTTGACCGACATTTTAATAACGTCGATTTCTACAGAAAAAAATGCGATGGTATCAGTGCGTTGCAAATATGTTTTACATGTAACTTGTTAAATTAAGAAATGGTTATATTTCATGGAAAACTTATGGAAAACTTATTATGTTGTATATTTTCAGTTCAACATCACGAATACAAATCGGACACAAGATGCTTGCTGTACTGTATACTTCTTGTTGACGAGTATACACTACATATCGATGAAGATACATATAGAGTGACGCTAAACAGGCTAAGAGAAAGATACTTTAACGAATATGTCAAGTCTGATGTCATAATGACTACAGACATCCCTGATGGAATCATACATAAACTGGACAATAAGATAACCTTTGCATCAGATTCAATCCGACATGACGTCATGTATGCCTTTGTTACGGAATGTTTGTTGGATAACAGTGATCTGGAGTTTTTCCTGACCACGGCGTCCCGTGACGTGATATCAGAATACTGCAGGTCCTGGGAATATGAGAGGAGGGAAGGAGAGAGATGTCTTTTTGTACCCAACATACCAGAAAATATGTACGACCTCTTCATAGACAAACTACAGCTTGACATCATCACACACTGTACCGTGTCTGACCAAAATATCCATGGCAGGATCAATAAACACTGTAATTATAATGCTTTCTAATTTTAATATGGTGTATTTTGGTCAAGACTTGATTAATTATCAAAGTTTTTAAGCTTGTTTTGTGCCAGAATTAACAAATGAATAGCGGGTATCTGTTTTGTAATTTATATAAAAACTATAGTAAATTCACTTTCTAATTCGAGTTCTCTCACCTGTAAACTGCTACTGTTATTTGCAATTTTTATTTAAACAAAGCCTTGGTTAAAAGATATTTACGCATTGAAGTACTACTTACTCAAAGTTGGCATTTTCTCAATGGTACTGTTATACACCATATTGAGTTTTTATTCTCGTTCTATATAGTTGGTGTACCTAGTGAAGTATTGCAATGGGACCGGGAGGCAAGAGAGCGATACGTAGGGTACATAAAGAGAGGAACACAGACAGTCCACCATGCCCGGGGGATGATCGTAGGATGTGCTGGGGCGGGCAAAACCACGCTACTTCAACGTTTACTAAATCCAGAAGAAAAGGAGATACCGAAAGTGAGAACAACAGTAGGCCTAGAAGTACATGAGGAAATATTCGAAATTTGTGATGGAAAATTAAAAGGTTAACAAGTACATTGTTGGCTAATACACATGTTTAAATTGGAAAATGTAATTGAAAACAATGTAATTAATACGTGTATACTATTATTGCTCTGGTCATTTTTAAGTTTTTCAATATCTTTTCCTATATACTTGTAAATCTAATAGAAAAAATTCAGCGCGAGGAAGGACATGAGGTGTTTGTAATACAGCTTCGGGTTTGACGTTTTGCTAAAGTTAAAAATGTTAATTTTTATTAAATGCACAAGAGGAATATTACCTTAATTTATGCACAAACCCATGTGAGCTTTTAAATGCAGGGAGCTGTAGATCTGTACGGTTTGAATTACGATAATAGACTACTTTCACATTTACACACGTTATTCCCCTTTTTGGGGTCAATCTGGGGTCAAGCGGCGTAAGACGCTGTTTTCATTCTATAACCTTATCAACTTTATGGGTCAGTATCCTAGAAATAAATTCGTTATGAATATGCTCATTATGATTTTCATGCTGTGTCATACTCTGGCAATACAGGTACAGATCGAAATTGTCCTATAAAGTTTGAATTTTAAAAATATTAACAGGTAACTTACAAAAGGACAAAGTGGGGAAAACGAGGTTTTGGCGACAACGGGAGAAAACTCTTAAGAATGTGAAATTCGTCTATGAACTTTGAACTATTACCATGGATAGAGGAAGCTATATTTTGATAATTCAGAGACATTCTTTTGAATATTTTCAATAACTTTACGTCAAGTCTTACTTTGAAGGTTTTCATATCTCCCTTTTCTTTATTTTTACAATTACAGTTAAATCAAGCACAGACAAGCATATTTCCGAAAACAAGAAGAGGCCGGGAGATTCAAATCATTCTTTGGAAGAGGAAATAACCAAAACAGTCAGTTTTTTTGACTTTGGGGGACAATGTGCGTACTACGCCTGTCACCAGATATACCTGACCAGGAGAGCTTTCTACATACTGGTAGTAGATGCCTCCAAAGATCTATACAAAGAAGTGGATAAGAATGCATGCGACCAGGGTGATACTGTTTTTAATGGTTGGACATACAAAGGTTTGTTTCTCGTACACACAGGGTATATATTCAAAATCGTGTATGAAAAGGTAATTATGCTGAATTCATTCAATGTCTAAATTTTGAATACAGTAATACGTATGCCACGCAAATCTAGAAAATTATTTCACCTTAGGACACAGGAATGCATAAAAAAGTTCTTGTTATCAAATAAGCTGTCCATTAAAGCTAAAAAAATGTTTTTATGTTCAACAGATTACTTTGAATTCTGGTTGAAGTCGATTCACACGTACTGTTCGCAGCCAACTGAAAAAGATGAGAATATTGATGTAATTACAGTTGTGACGCATTGGGAAAAGCGAGTTGACCAGGTACAGTGCACCAAAGTAAAGTGTATTTTTGAACATAGATATTTAAAATTTTAAAACACAAAAATTATTACCTCAACATTTTAAGAGGCCGTGTCAGTAACCATTGAGATTTACATGGAAAGTCAAAAATTTTGAATTGGGCAAAAACCACCCTAAAACATTTGAAGAACAACAAAAAACACATTTAAGACAAATTTTACAAATTTATTCATCATCATTGGTTTCCATGGCAACAAATGTGATTTGCATAGTAAATTCTCAATGAAACATTGTAAAATAATACAAATTTAGACATATTTAAATGCAGAGGGGGGAACAATTGGAATGTCTAAATTTGTTTTCTTATACTGAAATAATGAAAGATGCATCAGAAGAAAATATCTTTATGTCTGTAAGTATTTTAAAAAATTTTGATATGGTTGCTATGGCAACCGAAAAATGACAAGGTTTTCATGATGGGAATATCCGTGGAAAATTAAGTTTTTCAAAAGTTGAATACATAAAAACGCAACAACCGTAGATATTGTATGTCATACAAAGTTAAAGATATATCCCAATACTTTGAAATAATAAAATAAAAATTGGTAGTCGGATGTCCCAATTTTTTTTTTCAGAAATCAAAATTTGCATTTTTTTCAAAACACTTTCAGTGGATTTTCGCATGTTTTGGCAATTTTTTTTTAATATTACAACAGATATTTAACAGTTAGATGCCATATCTACAGAAACATAGTACTTTAGAAAAACCTCCATAAAATGTACGACTTTTTTACAAAACAATAGGAAAAGAAATCTCCATAGCAACGGAATTTATACCCTAGCAACTGACTTGACTAGGATCGGCAAAACATGAAACATATACCCAGGAAATTAAAGCCTTGTAGCAACCTCTAATGATAAAACGCCGCTTAATGATACAAATAGCATTAAGCGTTGCAATAGCAACGCTTAATGCCATAAATTATTGCATTAATAGCTGACATCATTAACCGCTAATGCTAAATCGCCGCTTAATGAGAAAATTATATCATTAAGCGTCACAAATGCAGTGCAACACCGACGCTTAATGAAACAAGCAAATATCGACATATTCGACGCTTAATGATACACACTTGTGTATCATTAAGCGTTGCAGTTTCAACCCTTAATGATATAAAATTTAGAAATCGCTCGTAATATCTAAGAGAAACACACATCCACCTTTCCTGAACAATGAGATATCACTTGTAAAAATATCTATATATGACCTTGTGCTATATTAATGGTAATTATAGAAGTTTTACTGTGTTTTCTATTTAGTCAAGGAAACATCTTTAAGCCCCGGATGTTTAAGAGACAGACAGTCAGATAGCTGGAAGAAAGAGATACAAACAAAGGGATAAATAAAATGATATTCAAATCCTTTAAAAGAACCATTTTTTTACTGAAAATACAGAAGCAAACAAGCAATAAAATTCTTTTTAATTTGATACAATGATTTGAATAGTCAAACTGAAATGTATACACATATATAATATTTGAATACTTTTATCGAAACTTTGTATTTTAAATTTGATACAGGTTAACACATGTCACTGTTAACGTTTCAGATATACGTATCGAGATTTTCACTAAAGTGTTTTTAATCTGCTTCGTTTCTCCAAATTCCGAAAAAGAGAGACATCATAGTCACATCAATATTAACAACTTATGTTTAAGGATATATTACAAAGAAAACAAGTAATACATAGAATAATATATATTGTGTTGAAAAAAAGATTCATTTATGCTTTATTTGTGAACAGTGTTACTTGAATACATCACCGTTGCATCACTGCATGATTATTTTAAAATAAATTTTGAATTCTAGTATGTATCAAATTACAATATACATACAGACTGAGGTTGAAGAGTTTTTTTTTATTTTTAAATTCTAAATGACGCATATTTCATTTGTAGTATTTTTTTCTTTCGATATATTAGACTAAGTTTACATCTGACTAATATTAAAATGAAATAGATTAAAATTTATAGTTCTTTTTTCGGTACAAGAGAGACCCTCTCTATTAATACTAGTATTCATCAGAAGTATTTCGCTCACTGCGAATGGGTATTAAAAGGTCGCATGAAAGGTCCGACTATGCTTTTCTTGCATTGGTTAATTAGTACTTTAATGAGCTACAAAATATTCTCGTCTCATGCAACTACGGCTAGAATTGGAGAGGATCGTACGTTTTGACCGTGGTTTGCGACGTTCCAAAGTTTCACTATAGCAAATCAAAGATCCAAAGTTTTTACTTTGCTTCTCTAGTCAATTATATTAAACTATAGTAAACTATATAGTTTTCTATAGTATTATTTTTTGTTAGGGATTTTCCGCTATTTAACGTCAGCCGTGAGTGAAAAAAACTGTCTAAATTTCAGACTTAAAAGCAGAACCGACTAAAAGGCGAGTATAAATGATACATGTATACCGAAATAGATCACTATTTACTGACAATTGCGGTGGAGACAGACTGAAATCTTTCTAGTTAGCTAAGCATATAATTAACCACTTTTGAATAATATAAGAAATCATTGTTTCTAATTATTACAAACATAAAGTACAATGCTTTGATATGCTTGACTTTTGGTATTTAAGGCATGGCATTCTTGGCGCTATATAATTAGATTTTAAATTGATTCCACTTGGTTACTAGCTCATCTGATTCTATAGCTCATCTGATTCTATACATATAAAGTAGCACAAATGTAAGGAAAGAAAGAAACACAGAAGTCTTTCTGTGTGCTGTCTAAATGGCAAAAATAAGCATGAGTTAGAGTTCTCATTGCAATGACATTTATTTAATTTCCTTTTTTTTTTCGATATAAAAAAAACAATTCTTTCATTTCTTTGATAAAATAATGCATCAGTTTTTAATTTCAATGTTGTCATGGTTACTAAAAAAAAATTTTCTGTGAAATTCCTTTAAAACGCTACTTCTTCTACAGTTTTGGTTTGATGACAAAGGCTTCATTTCTCATCCTTTGTTATAAGTACAAACCAGTAGAGCTACAGTCTCGAGATAGACTTCTGGTTTAATGTTAAGGTCAGATGACACGTTCCTCAAAAATATATATACGAGGGTTGTCCCAAAAAGTCGTAGACAGGTAAAAGAGTTATGTTTCTCTTTGCTTTATTAAATTTCTTTCCTTCTCATAGCAAAGAGTAACATTTTAAGATCACGCACTTCAAGTTTCATGATGATATCACATCTTATAAGAAAATTATGAAAAAATAATTTAATTTTAGTTGTAACGCATCATTTGATTGGATAATAAATTTATCTAAATTGTATAATCTTGTTTGCTTACGTCACAATGACTTACGTCAAAATCGTATCAATCCGCTTGACGTTACGTTTAAAAAATGAACAATCTGAAGGCGTTTTAAAGAGAGAAATTGTCTTGTTTTATATTCTTAATGATTGAAAATTAAATTATAAGGAATGATTTAAATAGCAACCAAAATTATACTGCTATAACCTGGGTTGGAGCAGTTTACGCTTTTTTAGCTCACCTGAGCCAAAGGCTCAAGTGAGCTTTTCTGATCACAATTTGTCCGTTGTCTGTCGTTGTTGTCGTCGTTGTCGTCGTTGTCGTCGTCGTCGTCGTTGTAAACTTTTCACATTTTCATCTTCTTCTCAAGAACCACTGGGCCAATTTCAACCAAACTTGGCACAAAGCATCCTTGGGTGAAGGGGATTCAAGTTTGTTCAAATGAAGGGCAACACCCTTTTCCAAGGGGAGATAATCATGAATTTGTTAAAAATTAATGGCATTTTTAAAAAATCTTCTTCTCCAGAACCGCTGGGCCAGGAAAGATGAAACTCATGTGGAATCATCCTCAGGTAGTGCAGATTCAAGTTTGTTCAAATCATGACCCCCGGGGCAAGGGTGGGGCCAAAATGGCCGACCCAAGTTTTACATAGGAATATATAGGAAAAATCTTTAAAAATCTTCTTCTCCAGAACCACTGGGCCAGGAAAGATGAAACTCATGTGGAATCATCCTCAGGTAGTGTAGATTCAAGTTTGTTCAAATCATGACCCCCGGGGCTAGGGTGGGGCCAAAATGGCCGACCAAGTTTTACATAGGAATATATTAGAAAAATCTTTAAAAATCTTCTTCTCCAGAACAACTGGGCCAGGAAAGATGAAACTCATGTGGAATCATCCTCAGGTAGTGCAGATTCAAGTTTGTTCAAATTGTGACCCCCGGGGCAAGGTTTGGGACCAAAATGGCCGACCCAAGTTTTACATAGGAATATATAGGAAAAATCTTTAAAAATCTTCTTCTCCAGAACCACTGGGCCAGGAAAGATGAAACTCATATGGAATCATCCTCAGGTAGTGTAGATTCAAGTTTGTTCAAATCATGACCCCCGGGGCTAGGATGGGGCCAAAATGGCCGACCCAAGTTTTACATAGGAATATATTAGAAAAATCTTTAAAAATCTTCTTCTCCAGAACCACAGGGCCAGGAAAGATGAAACTCATATGGAATCATCCTCAGGTAGTGCAGATTCAAGTTTGTTCAAATCATGACCCCCGGGTCTAGGGTGGGGCCAAAATGGCCGACCAAAGTTTTACATAAGGATATACAGGGAAACCTTTTAAAATCTTCTTTTCAAGTATTTCAAAGCTATGATTAGTGATATTTATATGGAATCATCTTCAGGTAGTGCAGATTTTAGTTTGTTCAAATGTTGACCGCCTGGAGGGGGGGGGGGGAGTAAATTCAAGCTCGACGTGCTCAGGTGAGCGCTGTGGCCCCTGGGCCTCTTGTTATAAACCGCTTTGGGTTGCTTTTTAATTCATTCCTTAAATAATGAAGGAATATAAGTGTACACCGGCGCACGAAAGCAAGCGTAAATTACGTCTCTTATAACGTCATGATCTCTTTGTCTGCTTCAATAGCAGGTATTAACATTCAATATTTTTTTTAAGTGAAAGACCACTCTTGATTAACGGACATATTTA